CCCCAAAACCCCAAAACCCCAAAACCCCAAAACCCCAAAACCCCAAAACCCCAAATCGGTTAATTTTATTGAAACTAATCTCACATTGGACAGCTTAGCAGAGTCTCGTGGATGAATATATCACAGTCTAGACAGAAGTAGCTATTGCATTTTGGGCAAATGCTGATGTATTTGAAGTCCTTGGTGTTTCATTGCTTCTCACAGCCCTTACAAGTAATGAAATCTGGAGGGATTTCTTGATTTTCAATCATTATATGGTCCCCATCACCTTCTTTATGGAAGGTAATTTTAGTATCACTTAAATCATCTGCGATTTTGAAATTGTCTACCGGATTATTGTGCTGGGCTGTCCTAGTCAGATGAGCACTACTTGCGAGCATAAGACCGCAAACTTTTCAGAAAGAGGGGACGTCTCATTGGTACGATTTTCACTTTGGTCACTCAAACACAACTCAGTTGAGTAATTTATGTCAGGAACAAATGACTGGTTGTGAGACAATGTTCTTCTTAGGGAATCCCATTTTTACTAACAAAGTATCCTTCTCTTCAGAGATGGATAGGCTAACTTTAGGAAGCAAGTTCCTTTGTAGCAGTTCTTCAAAATGAGTGTTATCTTTCGCCACACTAAATTCTCCAGATGTTTCACTACAAATTTTTTGAAGGATAAAAACAGCTGCTGATAGAGAGATTATTGATACTCTAATGCCATTTTCCTTGAGCAAATCTATTGTTTCAAAGACATTTCCAGGATCACAAGTTATCATGCTACTGTAAATGATCAAAACTTCTTTAAAGGCGTATCTTGGTACCTCTTTGAACTGTGCCATGGACAACTCTAATGCATTTTGGACAGAAGGATCTCCTTCTTGTACCTCAGCTTCTTTTAACTTATCACAATGATCATTTGGAGATGAGAAGTAATCAGAAATGAGGTTTGCTCTGCCATTTCCCGTTCCAAGCACGCTGACTAAGCTTAAAGGATTTTGATCAAAGTAGTTTGCAATAAACTTCATCAGATGAACTTTCGTAACTGCCAGTCTAGTAGGCTTCATATCAGTATTCTTCATAGAAGAGGAGAGATCTATTACTATGGATAAATACCTGATCATTGATTTTGTTTGAGAGTTTGCTTTCATCTTATCCATGTATTGCTTCCTTTCAAACTTCCTAACCATATCAACATCGGAAGCGATATTGATGTTCTCTTCCTTTGTAAGCATGTCAATGACATCTTTCTTGATTCCTACCTCCCATGCATAGCCTTCGCCTTCATTTTCTGAATCCATTTTATGAATTTTTGCGGATTATAAATTTTGGCTAAATTTTGGGGTTTTGGGGTTTTGGGGTTTTGGGGTTTTGGGGTTTTGGGGTTTTGGGG